TCCTTCTGCTGCTCCAAATGCAATTTGGAGTCAAACTCACCCAGTGACCACTAAGGTCTGTGTAGAATGAGTGGTGGCTGCAGTTCCAGGGTGTTGCAGCTGGCCCACAGGATGGCTCAGGAGGCACCAGTTCTCTGCCATTCCAAACCCAATGCCCTGCCTTGCTCTGCCTCTCCTTCAAGGCTCTCTGCTTCTGAGTCTCAATCAACAGCACCCAAGGAACAGGAATGGGGCTGCTTCCGGGGGTGCCCGTGGAGCCCAGTGTGTTGGTTTTCATCTGATTCCCAGGCTTCAGACAATTCCCAGAGGCTTGGGGACACTACGATGTGTTCCTAGCCGAACAAAACAAACGGTACTTGGGCTGGATAACCAGCTCTCATCTCCAGGTTCCTGGATGATTCCAGTAGGGATGTGAGAGCTGGATGCTGAAAAACATCACTAGAATGGCATCAAACACTCTTCTCACCTCCATCTGGGTGCTAAGGAGCCTAGAGGGGACAACTCTGTTTGCGTCTAGACACAGCGGCATCTACCTGGGTTTGGAGTCTGATAAGCCCCGAGGGGAAGCTGTCAAAAAGCTAATAATACTATGTGCTTAGCCAACATGTGCTCCCCAGGGGCTTCCACTGCTGCTCTGGAAGCTCCTTCCTGAGAAATGAGAGTCAGAGCCCCCCTCGTCTCCAGCAAAAAAAAAAAGAAAGAAAAAAAGAGATGCTAGAGACTAAGCCTCGACTGGAAATCACAGCGAAGTGAAGTTGTGGGGCCAGTCAGAGACGACACTTAGGATCCTGGGACTCGGCCACTACCCAGGAACATCTCAGACAGGGAGGCACGTAGCAAGGTTTGCACAACTCTGGCCGCATGTGCAACCCCAGCTGAACCCCTTTCGTTGCTAAGTAAAGGACTCAAGTGGCTTGAGGGCTTGTAGGACAGGTTTCTAAATCCCAGCTGCGCCACTCCTTAGTTGAGTGATCTTAGCCAAGGGAACTGGGAAATAAATTACTGGATGGCTAAATGTGCCAGGCACTGTGCTTGCACTGGAGCCTGTCTGCCTGACCCCGAGGCACGTATTCCTCTGTGAGCACTGGTCCTACACTCAGAGCCGGAGGCCTTAGGTTAGAGGCACAGCTCTTTGACTTTGGGAAGTCACTTCCACTCTCTCTGGACCTCCATCTCTCTTCAGGCAAATAGGACAGTCTATCCCGCTGACCCCATGGGGTGATGGTGAGATTAAAATGGAACATTGTGGTGAAAGAATGCTCTCTAATACTCAGTGTTTATGGTAAATAGGTCGTTTTCAGACCCATCTGATCTTTGGTACCATCACAAGGAGGTTTTTTAAAATATAGATTGCTAGATGGGTCAGGGTCTGATCCAGTGGCCCTGAGAATCTGTGTCTTTAAAAAAAAAAAAAAACACGCTCAAGGTAGGTTTGTGAAACAGCTCATGTTTACAGATGTAAGGGTTGAGTATCATTTCCCCAGCCCTCCGGGATGCCAAAATGTTGCTTCCTCTTCCCTGCCCCACCTAAAATGTTGCCAGTCCCAACCCTGCCCTTGGACTCTATCTCTGAAGGTTTTTATTTTATTCCTTCACTGATAGAATCTGGTTGCCTCTCAGCACCTTCCAGCCAAAGACCCAGAGAAGGGAGAAAAGGGTAGGAAAGAGAAGGCTCTGATTCGATGCATAAATAGCCTTTAGTTATCCAAACTGGGCAAATTGGCATGGAGGGTATCCAAGCCACAAGGTGGAGCAGCAGCCAGGGTCTGAGTAAGCAGATGAAGCTTACTCAGGTGGTGGCTCACCCTCTGCCTTCGAGTAGGAAACAATGTGTGATGGTTGAATCCCAAGGGACACATCTTGTATTTATTTTATCAACTTTGCTTGTATTTTTCTAACCTTGCTGGGTACTTTTTGGGGGATGAAGAAAGTCTGGGACAACTTTTTATGTTTGAAATCCTCAAATATCCCTACCAAAGAGGAGCATGCTAGCATGGATGATTCCAAACAAGGGATTATTGAGAAGTCACTTCCACTGGTTTTAAGGTGAATGGCATGGAGGTACCCACTCCTCCATTAAACTTACCTTCAAGCCTGGTGTGGTGGCTCACATCTATAATCCCAGTGACTCCGGAGGCTCAGGTGAAAGGATCACATGAGCCCAGAAGTTTGAGACAAGCCTGGGCAACATATCAAGACTCCCTGCCCCATCTCAAAAAAAAAAGTAAAAGTAAATTTACCTTCCGAGTGTGCTTCAGCTCCAAATATAATATCAATACTGGTTTACATGCCGTGAGAATGGTAGGCTGGGATGTGGGAACAAGGGAAACTCAAATTCAGAGCAGGCTCATCATGAAAATGCAGAATTTGAGAGCTACTGGTGCCACATGCACTTTATACACAAGATGAGGCCCAGAGAAGGGTCGTGACGTGATTGTCTTTCCTCCGGTGCCCACGCTGCTTCTGGACTCCTGGGTCTTAGTTGTTTTTATCTGTTCACTGTGCCTGCAATGACCATTGGTTAATCTGCAGGATTCAAGGGGCATTTGCTGCCCAGAACCTGTGTAAGGCGCATTTGTGGGTGAAGTAGCGCTGTGTTCCTGTCCTCTGGCTGCTAACCAGCTGTGTGGCCTTGGGCAAGTCCCAGGCATCTCTAAACCTCAGTGCCTTATTTGTACTTCAGGGAGGGGAAATACGTGGCTTTGAGGGGCTCTTCCAGTTTCCAGGCTTCTGCACAGCAGACTCCATTTTAGACAACAACTGCAGGAACAGGAAGGCCAAGAGCTCTGCTCAAAGTATAAACCTCACAGGCTAGGAGGCTCTCGCAAGGCCCAGGAAGGGGAAGCCAAGGCAAGAGCTGCCCCCTCCCTTCCCGAAGGTCACAGCAGTAGAGGTGAGCCCAGAATAGAAGCAAGGCCTCCATCGCCCCACCCACCCAGAGGAGCCAGACCAGGAGGCCCGTGCGGCAGGTGGGTGGGAGGAGGGCGTGCTTGGCTCCTCTCCTCCTGGCGCTGCTTATTTATAGGCAATACTCCTCCAGCTCTTGGGCCAGAGACAACCCAGGAGAGTAAAAAAGGCAGCTCTGGAGGAGACGCCAAGGGGGATTTAATCAGCTGAACCGAGTGAGATGTATAAATCAGTGCCGACTTCCACTTCCTGACAGGCCCTGCCAGTTTCTGCGGTGTCAGGGTCTGGGAGGAGATCCGCCGTGACTGTCCCCCTGGGCGGTGACACTTTCCCTTTGTCTGTTGCTACAGGTAGGCAGTCACTGGCTCGAGCTTTCCTCCAAATACAGATCTCTCCTGCTCAAAAGCCTAGACCTGCCCTGGAGGCTGAAGACCCAAAGCTTCTTCAAGTCCTAAGACAAAAACTGGGAAGCTGAGGGCCTTCTCTTTTTTCCCCATTTTGTCTATTTTCTTGACATTTCTTGTCTAAATCCTTGCAGTTCACGCCTTATGATTCCAGCATTCGAGCATGAGAATGTCACCTAAATGGCCATTGGACCTGTGAACTGGTTCAAGCCCCATCTTCAGATGAGGAACTGTGGCTAGGAGGAGCTAAGAGACCCAGGCTGGCCTCCTGAGGCTCCCACACCTCATTTGCTGCCTTTTTGGCTTTCTCCAAACCAAGAGACCCTAACCTCTCCCACATCCTATTTTTTCCTCACAAACTCTCTCCAAGCACCTCGCCTCCCAGCGCAGGCTCCCCAGAAAGCAGGGAGGGCTCCACATCGACCCCAAGGACTTCTTTACCCAGCTGTTAACTGGGGATGGTGACGGGAGCAGAGGGCCAGGAAAACATGGTCTTAGCTGCCTGGGCTAACGCAAAGAAAAGCACCAGTCCGGGAGCGGTGGCTCATGCCTTTACTCCCAGCACTTTGGGAGGCTGAGGAAGGCAGATCATGAGGTCAGGAGTTCGAGACCATCCTGGCCAACATGGTGAAACCCGGTCTCTGCTAAAATACAAAAAATGAGCCTAGGGTGGTAGTGCATGCCTGTAGTCAGTCCCAGCTACTCAGGAGGATGAGGCAGGAGAATCACTTGAACCTGGGAGGTGGAGGTTGCAGTGAGCCGAGATCGCGCCACTGCACTCCAGCCTAGCAACAGAGGGAGACTCCCTCTCAAAAAAAAAAAAAAAAAAAAAAAGAAAGAAAGAAAAGAAAAGCAGCAAGGGTTGCATGCTGCTGGTAGTGTGGGGAGAAGAGAGTCTGCTTCCAGTGGAACCCTGTGGGGAACCTGAGGAGAAGAACAGAATTGATGCCATGTGCCGAAGGTGGCTGAGGTTCATCTGAGACACGTTCAAAGACAAGTTATGGAAAGGCTAGGGCAGCTTTCGTTTGCTTTTTTAACACGTATTTTAGTATCCTGAACTAGGTGCTAAGGATACAAAGGTGAGAACTGGAGCCTGCTCTGTCTGTGGAGGCTAGTGTGACAGGTCTATGATGGAGGTGTGTGGAGAGGAACCAGGGGACAGGAAAGCATCAGGAGATAAGCAGGTCTGAAGGATGACCAGGTGCTGACCAGGTGAAGCCAGGTTCTCAGACCCGGCTGCACAATAGAATCACCTGGGGAGATTTTAATAACCAAAGCCCATTGAATATGATGAACCTGATCAAGAAGAAATAATCCAGAGCCCAGTACACACTCCTGACCAGTTAAAGAGACTCTCTGAGATTGCAACCTAAGCATCATTGCTGGAGATTTCAAAGTATAGCCAAGGAGGAGACCACAGGGTTATCAGATAATTTGTGCCTTAGGTTTGCAGGGCAATGGAATGGTTAAATGGGTGACTACTTGGGGTTGTTTTAAAAATATATATTGAACCTTCTTTTTTACTCTTTCTACGAAAGCATGAGAATTGCCTTCTGGACCTGGGTCTGGGGAGGAGCTGGAAGGAGGGAGGGGGTAAGCAGGAAGGGGAAAGGACAGTAGGGAATTCTGGGGCTGTAGCATCTGAGCTCTCAGTGACATTGTCACAAACCACGCCTCCCTCACTGCCAGGACCTCCTGCAGAATTCCCCCAATTCCATGTCTGGAGTCTCCAATAACCCCCAGGGGATTGTGGTCCCAGCCTCAGCGCTCCAGCAGGGCAACATCGCCATGACAACCGTCAACTCACAAGTCGTGTCAGGTCGGTGCAAGGACCGGGAAGGGGGATTGTGGGAATTCCCTGGGAGGAGAAAGGGTGGCCCTGAGGGGGTTCCAGGGGTGGGGGGGGGTGTCCTCCACCAAGAGAGGGGCTCCCAGCTCAATTTCTTGACTAAAGTATTCTGTGAGTTTATAGATGGTTAGCACCAAGACCCAATTGTGATGGTTTAGAACAAATTTGGGTCAAAATCTCATGAGCACCTGAGAGGACCAAATAAGCCTATTGTCCCTTCCCCCAAGCACCTCCTGCCAGAGGCTCTGCCCTAGGCTCTAGCCACTATCCCCTACCCAGCCCTTAGGCAGGAGAGCCATAGCTCACCACCCAAGGGCTCCAAAGTAGAGGGTCTTTACACATGAGTGCCAAGTGAACTGGGAACCCTGCTTGCCCTCACTCCTACCCACTCCAATGGCAGGGGACCCCAAAACTGGTTGTCTCCTCAGGTGGAGCCTTATACCAACCGGTTACCATGGTAACCTCCCAGGGTCAGGTGGTCACCCAAGCAATCCCCCAGGGAGCCATCCAGATCCAGAACACACAGGTGAGTGTGCGTAGGTGTGTGCACATGTGCATGGTGTGGGCTAGGGCACCTGTAATCGCTTCTTATCTGCCAGGCACTTTACACAAGTGACTCATTGAATCCTCATCATCTTCTAAGAGGTATCATTCCTCCTACTTTACAGATAAGAAGCTGGGTCTTGGAAAGGTTTTATCAACTTCTGGGATGGTGCTGCTCCCTCCTGGGGTTACATCAAAGAATCCTACACTTCTGTCGCTGTCTGTAGGCCAAGCCGCTGTGCCCCTGAGTGGTAGAGAGCGCACACACAAAGAAAGAGTAGAAAGACCCAAACTCAGAGTCTGGAATCTGACATTAACTCTGGAATCTCGGATAAGTCACCTAACCTCTCTGAGCCTCAGAGTTCTTATTGATGAAAGGGGAATTAATAGCAACTGCACACAGCCCAGTCAACCTGCAGGGCTGCTGCGAGGATGAAGCACGGATAGGAAAGTGCTTTGCAAACTTTAAGAATGCTGATAACTACTTGACGGCTTGTGGCAAATTCATGTCTTCTATACTCTCTGCATGGCCCTGTTTCCTCTGTCTCTCTCTCTCTCCCTCCCTCTCCCCCTTCCCCTTCTCTTCCTACTTGTCCTTCTTCCCTTCTTCCCTCACCAGAGCCTCACCTTCACTCTCCAAGGGGCTGGTGTGGGGTGAGAGGGAAAGGCAACCTCCCCAGGGCCCTAGGAATGAGCCGGGAAAGGGGCTGGCAGCCGAGCCTACCGTCGCTATGGCAACAGGTCCCTAGCCACTGGCCTTACAGGCTGCTGATGCTGATTTTCTCTTCACGTACCCTGAAGGTTAACCTTGACCTCACCTCCCTCCTGGACAATGAGGATAAGAAGTCCAAGAACAAACGAGGAGTCTTGCCCAAGCATGCCACCAATATAATGCGTTCTTGGCTCTTCCAGCATCTCATGGTGAGTGTGTGTGTCCTGGGGGTGTGGAGTCACGGCATGGGGTATGAATAACCCACTGCGTGGGTACCAGACTCTGCTGTCGGCTCCAAACCCACAGACAGAGGGCGTGGCCTCCAGGAGAGCTGTCTGACAGGGATGACAACTAGAGGCCAGGCCAAGGGGCTCACATGGGGCCTAAAGCTGGGAGACTTTCTCTAGTACCTGCTGCTGTTGCTGTCTGGAAAAAGTGTGGCAACACGTGGGGTAATGGGGACAAGCACATGGTGAAGAGTACTGGGCAGGTGTACCACATTGTTTCATGAACAGAGAGAGGGCTGTGGGGGGAGGGGGTTGTTTCTGGTCCAGAGCCCTCCCCCTGTCGCAGCCGTGCTCGCTGTGTCCCTCTCCCATGGAAGAACGTGTTGACTCTGCCAGGACGCCTGAGTCCTCCCCACTGGGTGAAGCCAAGCACTGTGCGGTGGAGATGGACGCCAAGGCTGGAATCCTGGCTCCTCACGTCACAGCTCAGCTCCAGGACACAGAACTGTTTCCTTCACAAGCCTCAGCAGCTCCTTTTATAAAATGGCACACTACCTTGGGTTTCAATGGAGTGTTTATAAAGTGCCTACTGTGTGTTTTTTTGCTGTATTTGTGTGCAGCGTTAGTTGCAAAAGACATGCCTTTGGTGGAATGTCAGGAAAGAAATACTTCAAAATTGCAATCCCCTAACACCACTTTCAAGGGCAGTGGCAGTAAGTAAAGGCCAGTGACTGTGCATGCGCTGGTGTGTGTGCATTCTGGGATGGGAAGGTAGATGCTGTGATGATGGGCGGACTTCCAGCAGTCTGCAAGCTCCTATCCTCGCGCGTCAGGACAGACAGACACAGATACAAGCAAGACAAATGCCAAGGGACTGAGAAGCCATTGGCTGGAGAACTATGGGAAGAACCAGGAGGAAATGGAAGTCCTTCTCCAGAGAGGAGACAAATCAAATGGGCCATGGAAACTAATCAGTCCATCAACAGCCCTTTATCTGAAATGGGAGAGCCTTCAGAATCCATGGAGACCAGGCCTCAGTGGTTCTCAGACTTTATTGGCAGCAGAAGACTGACTGGGTCTTGGGGCTTCTGACTTGGAAGTGCTGGACCTTCCTGTGCACCCAGGAGACAGGAAGGATCACCTGCTAGTGAGAGATGAGAGCTGGAGCTCGGGATCACCCCAAAAGTATCCCCTTGCCTCCAGGGTCATGGGGCTGCCCCCATGCTTTGGTGAGTGAGTACATTTTGAAAGCACTGACTAGTTTGAACGCGTAGAGTTTCCAGATGAGGAAGCTAATTTGGAAAGGAGGGGTTGGAATGCTGGGGTTAAGTTGAGAGGAGGCTGGAGGGACCCCTGTGCCTACGTGATGACACCAGAGGCCCAGTGGCAGATCCAGCCTCAGGCTTCTATGGAGCAGCTCTGGATCAGTGGCTGGAGTACACAGAGGGAATACCCAGGTCTCCTCCCTTTCTGGTTTTCCAAAATGTTTGAAAGCCAGGGGACTCAGATGGACTCAGTGGCCTGTGGGTCCAGTGTCACAGCTCCCAGCCTACCTGTGGGAGGAGGGGCTCTTGAGGGAAGGATGCCTCTTCTGTGCACCGAACTGTCACAACCAAGATTAAAGCACCTCCCTCGCCCCCAGCCCCCAGTGGAGCTAAATCTGGCTCCACTCGTTGTGGTGGGTGATGTACAATGCAGGGTCACAGATGTGCTAGAAAGCTCAGAGGCTTTTGAGGCAGCCAAATCTGGGTTCAAATCTGTGTTACCTTTTACCCTGCAACTTGGCCACATTCACCTCTTATGAAGATTGTGATAAAGTAATGAAAAATTACCAGGACCTTAGCACACTGAGATGCTTAATAAATGCTCCCTTTCCTTCCCCACCTCCCACCCTCATGCATTTTTGAAGACTGTTGTGAACACACCTACAACCTCACTTCTGAAGGGAAAAACAGGCAAGAGGAGAGAGAAGAAGCTGCAAGGCAGATTCCCCTGCCCAGGAGCCCAGGTGTCCAGGCCACCACCTGCCCACCGACTTCCATCACCCCATATGTGGGATTCTCCTTCACTACCTTCCACTCCCCACTTGCAACTCACCCCTGAGAGTCGTTAGCCTGAGACTGGAGGGTCACCCATCTCTGTCCCTCCTGGCTGTGCCTGGCCTCTCACCTGAGACCTCAGTTCACACCCCACCCTCTCATCCCTTTCCTTGTGAGCCTCCCTGCAGAGCTCAGGGTCCTGTCCTTCCACTCCACAGTCACTTCCACCCAGACTTGTGAATGCAGAGGAACAGGAGGTGGAGAAGAGAGGAGGTAGTTGCCGAGCACAGAGCAAGGCAGGACCCAGGCTGGCTCTACAGAAAGCACCGGGGATGGGGTGGAGGACTTGCCGAAAGGCACAAGGAGGGGCTTTCTGCCGGCACTTTCCCACCCACTCCTGCTGCCCTCTCCAGCCTGGCAGTGTGCACAGGTGCAGGTGCCATTCATGAAGTGCTTAACATTGGCAGAGTCCTCCCCCAGTTAATCACAGAGGCCTCTAGAGAGTCTAAAGTCAAAGCTCAGGACTTTGGGACTGAGCGGGAGGATGAGAATGAGAAGTCCAGGCTGCTCTAGAGAAATAAGCGCACTCCAGTTGTCCTTGGCAGGCCACGCCTGAGCCATACAACTATGCACATGTGGACACAACCTCCCCAAACCCCAGGGGTTCTAAAGGCTCTTCATAACTAGCCACAGTAGAAAGAAGACAGAATTTGAAGCCAGACAGATCAAGGTGCGAATTAAGGCTCTCCCACTAGCAGTGTTATTACCCTGATTCTATTTCTTTGAGAAAAAAAAAAAAAGAAGAAGAAGATAATACTTATTTCCCATGGTTGTGAAAATTAAATGAGAAAACATATATAAAGAGCCAGGCCTAGCACATAGCACTTAAGAATTAAGTTCCCTGGGCTAGGCATGGTGGCTCACGCCTGTAATCCCAGTACTTTGGGAGGCCAAGGTGGGAGGATCACAAGGTCAGGAGTTCAAGACCAGCCTGGCTAACATAGTGAAACCCCGTCTCTACTAAAAATACAAAAATTAGCCAGGCATGGTGGCAGGTGCCTGTAGTCCCAGCTACTCAGGAGGCTGAGGCAGGAGAATCGCTTGAACCTGGGAGGCAGAGGCTGCAGTGAGCCGAGATTACGCCATTGCACTCCAGCCCGGGCAACAAGAGCAAAACTCTGTCTCGGAAAAAAAAAGAAAGAAAGAAGTTTCCTTTGAACTTCCTATAAAAGTGGACCAAGAGCAAGTTGTTGGAGGCTGAAGGCCCATAATTAGTGAATATTAATCAGAGGCAGATGGCTGATTTGTTGTTTTGATCTATACCATCTACTGATTTTACCGCCATTTGACCCTAAGAGTGACAATACTGTGACTTACCCATTCTTTGTGTAGATGTGTATGCCTGTCTTGTATCTGTGACTCTTGTAAATTTCTCAAAAATAGGGATCATACATTATATTCTTCTATGAGCCCTATACATTAATTCCCAAGATATGGAGCTTTGCAGAATTTATAAGGTGTTGCTCCCCAAAAGAGGTTCCATGGTGAAATAAGTTTGGGTTGATCTGAGTTATACAGAGTTTAGCTTATTTATTTATTTATTTATTTATTTGCTTTGTGGGAGGTACAGAGTCTCACTTGTTGCCCAGGCTGGAGTGCAGTGGCACGATCTTGGCTCACCGCAACCCCTACCTCCCAGGTTCAAGTGATTCTCCTGCCTCATCCTCCCAGGTAGCTGGGATTAACAGGTGCCCACCACCATGCCTGGCTAATTTTTATATTTTTAGTAGAGATGGTGTTTTACCATGTCGGCCAGGCTGGCCTCAAAGCCCTAACCTCAAGTGATCCACCCTCCTCAGCCTCCCATAATGTCTTTTTTAAATTCTCACTGGACGAAGGAGCACGGTGAATTTGCAAGAGTGTAAGGTTCAAAGCTTCTCCCAAACTTATGTGAGTGCTTCACATCCATCCCCCATGGTGTTTTCACTGTTGCTCTAAGGAACAACTCTGAGACTGCAGTTCTTGAAAAACGCAACCCTATGGAGACACTGTGTCAGGCTGATAGGAGCTGTTCGGTTTAGGAAAGAGGAGCGGAAAGGGTATGAAGTAAGGACAGGCCTAAATATGCCATAGTTGTTCTCATCCAGTGCAGTTGGGACAACTCATTTGTTGTTGATTGATAGTTTCAAAACGAAACAACCATTCAAAAGAGATACTTTATGTTACTTTAAAAGATGGACATACTGTATACATTCCTTTGCTAATCTTTTGATATAGAGCTAAGGTATCTTTCTGATTGTTAGTCATCTTCCTTGCATAAACCTCTCCTATAATGTAACATCCATAAATTCCATCTCAATGGAAAGTGGAATAACAACTTTCACATTTGAGAATTAAGCTGGCCACAGGATCCTTCCAGATTTTTATTATGTAAAATAAATTCAATCCTTGATGTTTGTCTCATCCGATCCTAACTATTCAGCATTTGTAAGCAAGTTTGGGTCTCAAGACTTTTGAAAGCTTTCTACTTATCAACAGCAACTCTTTTTGCCCTCATATTTCATTGGTTTACAGAATAGTTTGTTAAATTACCGAAATTTACATACTTCATTAATAATGCATAGAATTGGCACAAACCAGTCGGGATACGATCACTGCTGACTCTCAGATAAGCAGATAGTGTGGTTAACAGACAATCTACAAAACAGCCTACTCATCTCAAGCATTCAGAGTATTGCACACAGCAGTTCTAACGATTTCTAGGAGAAATGGAGACAGCGTTGATTAATCTACAAACTTTGCTAAGTAGGGATTGGTTCTGAGGACATCTGGAGTAAATACTCGTTCTTCCTGTTGTCTTCTTTCCCTGGGGCATAAGTTAGTATTCTTCAGTTCCTTTTGTCCTGTGTCTTGTCATTTCTACTGTTCTGCAGCACTGGCAGC